CACATTCAAGACATTTCAGTCATTGTATGAACTGACCTTCTTCAGGGGATTGGAATTTCGAACTGAACTCTTTATTTCGTCCATTGGGGTAGATTTTCCGAAACGTCATGAATATTGCAATAAAGATGAGGACAACAGTCCGAACAATGTAAATAATTACATTATCTCATCTCATATATATATGACACACCTTATATATGCTTACAAAGCATTGTACGCATGGAATCACTTGTATTTGATACATGTACATTGAGAACTGAGATAATAATTTTGGTATTTCTGAAAGAATGTCAGGTTGCAGCAAATGAAATCTTTTCCATATTGTAACCGATAATCCTACCGTGGCTGATATTGCCTGACGATAATCGAAAGTCCTCGAACAAAAGCACCATGAACTTTGGACACTTGCTCCATAAATTTGATCTTGATGTTGGACAACTTATATGCATATTGGGAAAAATGTAATAAAAATTTGAACACCATTCTGTGTTTGGTCGATTTCTATAAAACACGTTTGAATGAATTCTTGATGCCCCCTGTATAAAATTTCATTACACCATGCATACATACATAAATAATTACACACACACACACACATATATATATATATATACATATATATATATATATATATATATATATATATATATATATATATATATAAATAAAGAGAGAGTGTCAGAGAGAATCATATATATATATATATATATATATATATATATATATATATATATATATACTAGAGAATCAGAGAATATATATATATATATATATATATTATCTAAAGAATCTATATATTATATATATATATATATATATATATATATATATATGAGAGAATCATATATATATATATATATATAAATATATATATATATGTATATATAAAGAGAGAATCAGTATATATATATATATAAAGAGAGAGAATCATATATATATATATATATATATATATATATACTGATTCTCTCTTTTTCTTTATATACATATATATATATATATATTTAAAGAGGAGAGAGTGAGAGAGAGAATCAGTATATATATATATATATATATATATAAAAGAGAGAGAGTGAGAGAGAGAGAGAATCAGTATATATATATATATATATATATATATATATATATATAAAGAGAGAGAGAGAATCAGTGTGTGTGCGTGTGTGTGCAAATGGCAATTTTTGTTTGCCTGAATCACGTTGCCGTATAAACCCGTGAACCAATATTGATAAAACTTTGCATAACATAAACTATAATCTGGTTTGATAGTAATCTAATTGTTTTTTTGTTTTTTTTTAATTAAAATCTATAATGGGACCGCTAGGGCCGTTAGTTTGCAGCTCACCGCCGGGTCTTACGCGAAACGCTGTTTTCATATCCGTCTATATTTCTGAGATAAGGTATTGTGTACATTATTCGGACTATTGTTCTGATCTTTGTCGCCATATTTATTACAACGTTTCGGCCGTTGTACGCTCCGGCCTTCTTCAGGTGATTGGAATTTCGAGCTGAACACCTTTATTTCGCTCACTGGGGTAGACTGTTCTAGTTCCACGTTCCATGTTCAATGGATGTCAGTTATCAGTTATCTCCTGTTAATTTTCCTTCTGAAAGTTCTCCACTGCTCCAGTGAGCGAAATAAAGGGTTCAGTTTTACATTCCAATCACCTGAAGAAGGCCGGGGCGTACAGCGGTCGAAACGTTGTAATAAATATAGCGCTGTTTATATGTTTATCACTGTGATTAAGCAAGTAAGATAATTGGTCTAGCAAACTTTCTAGAAGTTAAGATACACGTGTTACGAAATAATAGTTCTTATAAAGCTGAACATTCCTTGCATCTTTGTTCGGTTTTAAGAATTTAGTGGACATCGTCGGCAGGTTATTTACTTAATAAAACCTTGAACGTATTATTTCAGCATAATCTTTATTTCAATACGATCTCCGTGGTGTGTTTACATTGCAAAAATATAATTTAACGCGATTACTTTAAAAATAAATGCAATTACACTTCTTTAGGTTGAATTTTAGACATTGGCACTGAAAAGAAACTACGAATCTTAACTATGAAATATTTAAAAAATGTTTTTAGCGACTGGCACGATCAGTTAAGCTTATCTACGTCGACATTTCTATTGAAAACTTAGACAGTCAGTTATGTGCCATGCGTGATAAACGCTTAATAGTGTATCATGTATCTTTCCATAATGCTTGACGAAGCAGATTCTTTCCCCGCAGTAGGTAAAACCCGGTCTGTCCTGCTATTTAAGCAGGAGAAGAAGAGGATTCATACCTTTCCTAAGGGTATTAGCACGTATTGAATGTAATGGATTTAACTGGATTCCTCAGTTCAAGCCGCTATCCACTAATCCATCGTGCCTCCCATTGAAGATTTAGCATGGCCCTAAAATCAATACGAACTCGGCATAAATCTGTCTTTGTTCGATTTTACTCATTTGGGGGACACGTTCAAACCCAATCAAAGGTTGTTTCGTTAAAACAATCTATTGTATAATCTTTCTTCGTAGCCCACAGTTCGTTATCATGGTTACAAAAGTACACCTACATTAAATTAATATAGGGATCGAAATAATACTCTTATAAATCCTAAAATACTTTACTAAAATATCCGACAGATATGGATATGTGTATGAATTTGAACATTCAGGAGACACCATCTGACCGATACGAAGGTTTTTTCGTTAAAAAGAAATCTAATTGAACCTCGTGTAGAAGTTAATAATGAATATGCTAAAGCAAATTTTCGAAATGATTCGCAAAAATGGGGGATATACTAAATATTAAATTGTCGTTGATTTATTTGTTCTGTATTTTCTATTTTTATTTATATGTTCTCATCTTTATGACCAACCAAAAAATACTTTTTCAATGTTTATTTAAATTAATCAATTAAAAGGTTATAATTTTCACTTGTTTGTTGATAAACTACATTTTGTAATTAAATGTAAATGTTTCGAAAATATATTTCGATTAAAGTAACAATATTTTATACTTTTTAACAATTTTGTATCTGATCTTAAGATTTTTCACCAGGAGTGTATATAGGATGTGATGTTTAAATTGGCCATTTTATATTTTTCATTTTGCACATATTTTTAAACTCAGAATTATAGCCACGCCATAGTGATATCGACTAACTCACGGCTTACAACCAAGAATATGCTTAATCTCCCTAATGCCTTTTACGAGTAATGCCCCTTCAGGAGGTTGGCGATTATTACTCTTCACGATTTCCTTTTCTTTGTAGCTATTAAGAAATATTGTCGCTTTGCTATCTCTCCTAGACCCTATTCCGCCATCCATTTACACAAGCTCCATAGGTAGGTTATGCTCTGTTTGCCTCTGTCATGCTTGTCGTCAATATATCCTGTGAGTGACACATTTTCTAAACGCTCTTTCCTCTTATATGCCATAGAAATTTCAACTATCACTGTCTCGTGTTAATATGCATGCTTTTCGTTTTTATTATTCTATAAAACTTCGTTTCTCAAATGTTCAGTTCATAGTGTTCTCAGTCTCCATCTGTAGAACCAGTAACAATCTTTTTCTCATCTGTGGGAAGATTGTACAGCATTCAATGGAATTTGCAGTAATGGTCCAGTCGCGGTCCTGAGTCGCTCTTTTTTTCTGACCTCTGCCATTTTCTTATAATTATTCAGGGACATAGTACTAATAGCAGACACGGAAGAGAAATTACAAAATCTCCTATAGAAGGTAGCGAAGGAGAGTGAGAAGAAAGGACTAAGCATAAACTACAAAAAGACAGAATGCATGGTCATCCGTAAGAAGAAGACCCCCAAATGAGACTTGCAGGTTGGAAACACTTGAATCAAGCAGACGAAGAAGTTTAAATATCTGGGAAGCATCTTGACAAAATGACAGTAAGTGCGACACTGAGATCCGTAGACGTATTGGGATGGCCAAGGATGCATCCCAAAAGCTGGGCAGAGTATTGCGAGGCAGGAGGATTTCTTTGGTAACAAAGAAAAGAATACTGAGCTGTTACGTGATATCTATTCTTCCTTTCCGGCAGTGATTGTTGGATGATTTCCTCAAAAGATGAAGAAGAGACTCGAGGCGACGGAGATGTCGTTCAACAGAAGGATGCTAAAGATATCAAGCATGTGAACAACGATGACGTCTTAGAGAAGTAGAAGGCTTATACTTAACATCAGAAAGATACTGCTGAAGTTTCTGGGACACATAATGAGGAAGTTGGGCCTGGAGAATCTGATACTCATGGGTTAAATAGAGGGGAAAAGAGACAAGAGAAAGCAGTGTGTGACATACCTGATGAACTTGAGCAGGTGGATGAGAGAACGTGGTCTGGGAGAGGAAGCAGAGGGAAAGTGCTTAGAGGGAGGTGGAGAGGCATGATCGTCCACGTCCTGAAAGGACACGGCACATAAAAAGAAGAAAGAAAGAAGTCTAGTAATAATTGCACATCCACGTAGACAACGTGGGCGCGGTAGGAATGCTACTAAAGATTACCTAGAAAAAATATTTTCTATTTCTTAAACACTTTCAGAATAGTACTAAATTGGAATATACTAAAAGCTGAACAACTATAAACCTGGTTGAGAATGGGAAAGAGATAGATAGAGAAAGAGAAAGAGAGAGAAAGAGAATGTGTTATCTGTGCAACGTACTTAAAATGCAGCTGGTTGATTAAATTCTTAGTTCAGTTTTAGTGTTTGTAATATTAAAATAAATAAAAAGAAAATCCAAAAACAACTTGCGAATAAAATTTTAAACAGGAAAAAGTGATAAAAAAAATGAAAGGAAATAGATCATAAAATGTGTATTTAATGATTACTAGAAATATTTAAAACAGCTAAATATAGTATAATTCTTCCACGCCTTACACCAGTAAAAATCTTTATCGCTACAATCAAATCAGTTTTCGTTTTTATTTCTTTTCAAAACATTACTTCTTTTCAGATTAAATTTACATTATATTCTTCTTTTTCCTCTTTCGTAATGTTCCGTTCCATTTATCGTGTTTTCTTCGTTTCTCCGATAACACGTTCCGTCCTGATAAGCCACATCTTGGCATGGAGCAATCTTGGAATGGACAAATCGCAATTTCAAATTGCATTTGAAAATGAAATGAAATTTTTCTTAATCGAATATCGAACGATTAAACAGAAATGCTTTACAAGATAAGAGATATTTTGGGTGTATATGAGCACTCAAGGAAATTAGATATAGATAAACATTTAAAAAAGTTAAATTAAAGTCAGTTGTTTAAAAAAGAAAAAGAAAGGAAAATGTTGAGAATAAATATAATCTTTTGTCTTTCACGAACGTTTTCAAAAGCAGGAAATAGTTTATTGTTACTATTTATGAGGTATATATATATATATATATATATATATATATATATATATATATATATATGCGTGTGTGTGTGTGTATGTGTGTGTGTGTATTAAAAAGAAGAAAGAAACCGCGAACGTTTTTTGTTGTAATGTGGATTAAAAAAAAAAAAGAATATTATGCTTTATTTCTATTAAAAGGTATGAATGCTGATAAATCCTTCACCATTTCTTGAACCAATCTTAATTGTTTTATAACCGTTTACGCGGAAAATTTCACTGCCAGTTCAAGAAAGACATTTGGGTCACTAACACACTAAAACACACTAACACACTAAAAAGAGAATGTCTCATATCGAGTACATTTAACATCGAAAAACATAAGAAAAAATAATTATTTTTTATGATATGTGGAAATCTCCTCCCTTTGCCTGATGACAGTCGCGAGACCAGAAACTCGTGTCGTAAAATTATGGAAAATAAAGCATAATATTAAAAAAAAGA